CTTACACTTGGACACCCCCCCCCCAAAAAAAAAAAAAAAAAAAATAAATACTGTCAACGGCGTAGGAAGGGCTCTGGAGGCGTCGCCAGGATAATGATGGCTCGTCCATAAACTATAAGTTGTTTAAGAGTTTAGGATTTGCCAGGCAAGGGTTTTACGACTACAGAAAATTTGTGGAACACCTGGCTCCTCCTAACGGCATATGCCACCCACGTCTCTATGGCTGTGCTACACAAGGACTACTCAGCATGCCACCCTCTAGCTGAAATACCATTGCGTGGAAACCTTGTCCAGGATGGCCGCATTTCGAAACCGCACACACATCGCTTGCCAAAACGAGCTGCGAAGGTAAATTCAAAACTACCCAAATTCGGATGTCGGGTATGTGTTTGATCAATCCCTGCCACTGTCAGTGTCAAGTATCCACAGCTTGGGCGACGGAGTGCAAGTCATCTGACAGCGGCATTATAGCGCAAGAAGCCTGCTGGCAAGATGCGCCTACACACCACACTGTAACTGTAACCTCCACATATATGTATATAGCTGGACGTACATAGATACGGAAACTATCCACTCAGTCATATACCCGGGATCCTTTTCAAGGCTGCTCTTCAAATTCAGATAATGCTTCGGAGCGCACGGCTCCCTCCATCACCACGTTGGAGCTAACCGTCCGAGGTGAAGACACCTTGAGATTTTGGGGAGCGCTCGTCTTCCGAGGTTTTGGGGTAATTATACCCATAGGCCCCAAAGTATTTCCTTTTTGGGGTTACCTTATAGGATTCTATATATGAACCCCAAAAAAGGACTACTTTGGGGCCTTCGGGTAATGAGGTTTCTGAACATTAAGCGAAGCCTGCCTGTTCGCGGGTCCCATATATATTAACGCTCCTACGAGTTTGGGTCTATCTTGCTGTAATCCACAGGAAACTGACCCCCTCCTCCGCTCATGCTCGTGATGGTTGGAATACGGATCTTCAATGACCCTTACAGAAGTAAAGGGGTAAGAACCTCCAATTTGGGCGTGCTTACCTCTGTATGCCTCTCCCCCTCCAGGTTCAGAAGAAGCCTCTTGCGCCCGAGTTCCTTCTATAATATCGGGGCCTTAATAATCTAATAAATAGCCTTAAATTAAAGCTAAATCGAATTTAAGAACGATCTCTGAATTATATTATTTTGAATAGGGTTCAGGGGTCCTTTAAGGGTTCTCCCTGAAAGCTGCACCATCCATGTAAGGAGAGCTCAGGCTCCAGGGTTGAACTGGACCCTTGAAAGCCCTATACCTTTGTGAGAACTCATATGGGAGTCTCCGAAGATACAGTTGATGAGATAAATCCTGCATTACCCACAATAAGGAATATCTCACAATTCCGATAGTCTAGGGTCCTTAAGGTAATGCAGGATCTATATCATGAACCGTAGGGGTACCTTATCTTGGGGGTCCTTAGAATGGGGATCCTACTATTTAGGGTACTATATTAGGGTCCCCTATTTTCGGAAACTCCCATATACGCTCTCGCAACTCGGACTCCGCCAAACGAGGTCTCCCAGTCAGAAGTGCGTTAGTCAGGCTACAGGCTGACGTCCAGTTACACACCACAGGGATACATTGAACACAAGGAAATCGAAATAAGCAACCCTAACACTCACTAGCCCAAAACCCAAGGAAACAAAAGTTGAAACATTCAGACTCGACTACTTTATAAGAAACCCAAAAGTTCAAAAGTTGAGTTCACAGTCAATAAGAACAATGTAGATTTCTTAGGGGCCCCAAGCAGCATGGCCAGAGTCTGCAAGCAGCCGATTCAGGAATTCTTGCTGACTGCACAGGGTATCTTACTATATACCCCGGTAAGCCACAGAAACGTAAGGTTAAACTTTCCGATACCTACTAAACTATAAGAACCCAAAAGTTTATAAGTTTGGTATTGGGGATCTAAGGGATTCGAGGCTGTTTATCCAAAGAGCCCAATACCCCCACGGTAAAACATGTAATTAATACGATGTCATACATTGCATCAGATGGACGATTCCTGTAGAACGCACGGCCATTTTGTGTAATATACATGGCCTGGAGCCGCTGAGCCGCTGAAACTCTAAACCCCTAACGCCATGAGCCCTGAGCCCCTAGACTAAAAGCCAGAAAGTTGGAAAATAAATATCCTAAACCCTTTATGGTAAATTATAGGGTATCCTACCCTGAAACCATATTCCAACTTTCTGGAGTTCCCTCTAGACCCTGCAAGCCACAAGCCCCCGAGCTATCCTCCCAGAGCCCAATACACGCTATAATTAAGGAATACAGCCTAAAATTTGATCGGAATCCCGTTGTAATTTCAGGGTTTCGGTTTTAGGGTTTAGGGTGTTTAATCGGAATCCCGAAGTAATTTCAGGAAAGTTCCTTAATCAAGGAGTGTTGGGTTCGCAGGGCTGAACCCTAAACCATAGAAGCTTGAATGGTTAGACTGGTAACTTGTGACTTCTCATTGTATGTATAGTAAGCTTCCCACTTGGAATATTTCGAATAGAACTAGCACTAGCTTTTTGGGGCTTCTGAATCATAATTGAGGGACCCTGGGGAATATGACGAATAGACTCAAACCAGGAGCTTGGGCATTTCTTACTTGTATGTATCGTCACGAACCCTGGGGGACGATAACAATCACCTTTTAACCCTAAACCTTACATGACCTTAGGGTCTATAGGTGTTTGGGGGGTTGCTGAATTGTAATAGTATATTGAGGGACCCTGGGAGAAAATTGCGAACTTCAACCCTAAACCTTACAGGACCCTATGGACTAGCTGTGTGATGGCTTCTTAGTCGCAAGTATTATTTTGAGGGACCCTGAGGAAATGTTGCTAATTTCACTCTGGGTTTAAACCTTTGCCCAAAGGTCCCAGGGAACAATAGTAAATTGGGGCTCCTTGCACCTAAACCCCGAAATCTTAACCCTCAACTTCCAAACACCAAAGGGCCCAAGTGAATGCTACGAATTGAGGCTCGTTTATGTTCCCGGACGTTTCGGGCACATCCGCTACATGTCAAACGTCTTCAGCAGAGATTAGCGTTTAACTTCAACTACGACAAACTTCTTCTTCGCAGGGTTATTATCGCATTTCATATCAGGGTTATAGACAAAACCTGCAAAAAAAAGGTTCATGGTAGTTTAGGGTCTCGGGCTTCGTGACGGACTGCCGAACGGGTGCCAAAACAATAAGCCCTAAACCGCAGCTACCTGGCTACCTGCCTGGGATCCCATCGCATCTGCGGCAGTGGACATGTTGGAGATTCCGCTGGACCTCTGAGGCGGAAACCTGCAGAGAAACGCGGCGACTTCTTTCTTCCACTATGTTACGGTTTTATGGAAGCTTTCCGAGGGCTCCAAAAGGACATTACAAGATCTTCGTCCGGGTTTGCTGGATTTTGGCAGTTCTGGTTGACCAGTTGCCTCTGGCCTTGGAGATCGCGATTTTGAGGTGTATAACGGCATTGCCGAGACAAATTATCGCTGTTGCTGATGCTGTTGTTGCTGCTGGTGCTGCTGTCGATGTGGTTGTGGTTGTTGTCGTTGTTGTTGTTGTTGCTGCTGCTGGTGCTATTGTTGTTGTTGCTGCTGTTGCTGTGGTTGTTGTTGTTGTTGTTGTTGTTGTTGTTGTTGTTGTTGTTGTTGTTGTTGGTGTTGGTGGTGTTGGTGGTGGTGGTGGTGGTGGTGGTGGTGGTGGTGGTGGTGGTGGTGGTGGTGGTGGTGGTGGTGGTGGTGCCGTGCGTTGTTGCTGTTACTGCTGCTGCTGCTGTTGTTGTTGTTGTTGCTGTTGTTGTTTTTGTTGTTGCTGCTGCTGTTGCTGCTGCTGTTGTTGTTGTTGCTGTTGTTGTTGCTGTTGTTGTTGGGTTGTGGTTCTTGTTAATGGGGTTGGTGGTGGTGGTGGTGGTGGTGGTGGTGGTGGTGGTGGTGGTGGTGGTGGTGGTGGTGGTGGTGGTGGGGGTGGCGGCGGTGGTGGCGGGGGTGGTGGTGGTGGCGGCGGCGGCGTGGGGTGGTGGTGGTGGTGGTGGTGGTGGTGGTGGTGGTGGTGGTGGTGGTGGTGGTGGTGGTGGTGGTGGTGGTGGTGGTGGTGGTGGTGGTGGTGGTGGTGGTGGTGGTGGTGGTGGTGGTGGTGGTGGTGGTGGTGGTGGTGGCGGCGGTGGTGGTGGTGCTTGTTGCTTGTTGCTGGTTGTAAAAGTGTTGTTTGCTGGTTGTTGTTGTTGTTGGTGGTGGTGCTGGTGGGGGTGCTGTCGATGCGGTCGTTGTTGCCGTCGTTGTTGTGTTTGTTGCCGTTGGTTGTGGCTGTTGTTGTTGTTGTTGCTGTTGTTGTTGTTGTTGTTGTTGTTGGTTGTTGGTTGTTGTTCCTGCTGGTTTTGCTGTTGCTGTTGCTGCCGTTGCTGTTGCTGCTGTTGCTATTGCTGCTGTTGTGGTTGTTGTTGTTGTTGCTGTTGCTGCTGTTGTTGTTGTTGTTGCTGTTACCGTTACTGTTGTTGTTTGCTGTTGGTGTTGCTGCTGGAGTTGCTGTTGTGGTTATTGGTTGTTGATTGTTGGCTGTTGCTCGTTGTTTGTCGCTTGTCGCTTGTCGTTTGTTGGTTGTTGGCTGTTTGTTTGTAGTGTGTTTGTTGTTTGTTGTTGTTCGTTTGTTGTTTGCTTGTTGTTTGGTCGTTGTTGTTGGTGGTGGTAGTGGTGGTGCTGCTGCTGTTGTTTCCGTTACAACTGGCTATGCTGTTGTTGATGCTGTCGTTGTCGTTGTCGATGTCGTTGGTGTCGTTGGGGAGTCGCGTGTGGCAGATTTCAGGGCTTTCGGAGCTTGGACTGAAGCATTGGGAGTCTAGCCGAGGCATTGGTGAGAAGCCTCCACTGTGCATCCCCCTGACTATGCTATCCTTGATGATCTGACGAGTAATGGCTGCGGGACCTAGAGGTGCTCAAAAACCCATTAACATGCATCCAACCGTGCCTGCTGGCTGAGCTCTCTACCGTGGCTACAGCCGCAACGCGCAGTGCGAAGGCATCCTCCTTCAGTCTTGGTTTCGCTTCAGGTGCACCACCGTCGGCATAGCGCAATGCTTCGGGGGCAACCCGGCCCTCGATGGCAGGGTGCGGGCAGAACACGCAGATCATGAAGACCGCCACAATGGCGAGGAATCCCAGCATGGAAAGTAGACCAGAAATCCTTGCGAAGAGGGAATCGGGAGGGAGAGAGAGAAAAAGAGAGACGGACAGAGAGAGAGAGAGAGAGAGACCAACAGAGAGTGAGAGAGTGAAAGAAGGATTTGCTCCAGAATTTCTTCCGTTTCTGCTATGATCCTGTACTTCAGGCGTCTCTGAGAAAGTCTCGGCAGCTGTGGTTGTGCCATCTTGAACTTACTTCAGCACTATCCGTGCTAAAGCTCTGATGCTTATTGGCATGTCGTCTTCTAGAGCCCCTTCATTGACAATTACATGTATCGTGAAACAGACCTCGCAGCAGTCGCATGGCGGTGGTAGCAGTAGCGATAGCGGCCAAGAACGTAGTAGCAGTAGCGGTGGTGGTTGTGGTCGCGTAGCAGTATCATCGACTACTACGACTACGACTACAACTACTACGACTACAAGAACTACAACTACTTACAACTACTACTACTACTACTACTGCTGCTGCTACTACTACTACTACTACTACTACTACTACTACTACCAATACTAATAACAACAATAGTAATAGTAATAGAAGTACCGGTACCAATACTGGCACTAGCATTCGTGAATGTATTGGAATGTACTAGTTACTAGTTTGCATCGTCGTCGCTGTCGCCATCCTCGTGAGTAGTGGTCGTCGTCGTAGTCTTAGTCGCAGTCGCTGATGCCGTCACCGTAGCAGGAGCCATCGTACCCATAAGAGCCACGCTTGGTTCCGCTAGGTACTAGGTTCGACCGCCGAAACAGTTTCTGGGCATCGGACAAAGGCCCAACAGAAGCATAAGCAACTGACGACAGCATGACACAGGCCGCAATTCTTGAGACCCAGGCATGTCTTGCCGAATGCTGAGCCCAAGGCTTGATTCGCATGGTCCGTTCACCGCTGTCCACTTGCGAAGGCGTGGTGGTAGCTAACACCGTGTGGTCCCTGGTCGACTCCATCCTTGACTAGCTCAGGCTTCAGTGGTGCAAAGCCGCACGTAAACCACTGATTCATAAGCCCTCCCCGCTTCATTAGAATGATCATCGGATCCTCGCATTAAGGCCTTTAAAGCGAGGGGGTTTGCCAATCAGCGGCCTACAGCAACCCTTGAGTACCCTTCCTTAAACTGCCCATATGGTCGGCTTTATTGAGTATGTCAGGGTCGCTGTTCCTCTTTGAGGGTAGAGGAGGACGACTCCCCGAAGGAACTCACACCTTGAACCATATTGTAGGGGCCTTGATAAGTTAGAATAGGGTTCCTTTAACGGGTTCCTTTTGACGGGGCCTTTAAGGATTACCACAAGGGGTATTACGGGGGCTTAGTATAGGGGCCTTAATGCTTAGAATACGATTTGGTGGTTTTTTAAAGTAGACTTATCATATAGAACCCCAAAAAGCTTATTCTACTTGTTAAGGCCCCTACATTATTGTAGAAGACTAAGGCACCCCAAAATCCTACTCTACTTGTTAAGGCCTTTTTTGTTGTAGAAGGATCCCGGGCTTCGGAGAGAACGCGTTTTATTCCATGGATATGGGCTCTTTGAGTGCTTGAAATGCCGTAGAACGCCCTAAGGAAATCTTTCCCGGGTCGCCGTAGAAGACCCTAAGGAAATCTTTGTAAGGTCCAAGAAGACGTTGTAAACAACTTGTTGAAGCCCTTTTGTTCGTATTAGCTGGGAGTGCCAGGTTGCAAGCCGGCGATGCAAGCACCTCATCGCTGTCAGACTAATGAATGACCAGCGCTTGATTGCAGTCTGATTGGAAAAAAAGAGCTGCAGGGTTTGAGTTAGTAGGCGGCTCGGTGTGTCAGCGTGTGCGGTTGCGTGTGCGCGTGCGGGCGGGCGGGACTGCGTGTGCGTGTGCATCGTACGCATGCGTCATGTGCGGCTTTAAGCTGTCCGTGCTCTCACACGGGGAGCTGAAATTTTTGGGCAGGCTCTAACAGGAGAGGGGGCCAAGACCTTAACGAAAATCCCAAACCTTACATGTGAAACAACATTTGCATGGGTCAGAAATATGACTACAAGTGGAGAAATCACATCCGTCACTGCTATGAAAAATGTGTTGGTCACCACTGTTCGTACATGAGTATTACCATTGCTCTTCTCGCGGTGATCGGCTATGAGGTTCTAATCTTGGAAGTAGCAGTTACAGACTGACTACTTAGAATAGGCTTTTGGAGGCCTGATATCGTAGATCTACATCAAAGAACCCTGAGGAATATTGAATAGTGTTGGGAACTGTTCCGACGTCTAAAGTGTGCCTGTTGCTAGAGTGAAGGCTCTACATATGTTACATGTCCCGATGTCAGACCTATATCCGATAAGACTGATCCTTGGGTTGTGCTCACAACGGCGTCATACGGAGGTTGTAATGCGGTCTAATTGCGTTGTATGGGATTTACACCGTTTTTCTCCGGGTTTCGCATCCCAAAGCCCTTACCCCAAACATCCTGAACCCTCTGCCTCCACATCTTCGCAGTTGGAATGCAGCTTCATGGGCAAGGGCATGCGTTCGAAGTAGAACCGGCTCGAAGTTGACAGCCCGAACCCCAAAATCCAATCTGGAATGATTAACGCCCCTACTTGGAGGTTCATGGGTAGTTATAAGTAGGGTTATAAGTCCCCCAATGTTATAGGTATAGTTACCCTACTTATAACCCTACTTACAACTACCCATGAACCTCCAAGTGCATCTAATCAGCTTTTGATCCCATGGGCCGCCCTTCAGGGTTTAGAGCTTCAGGCTTGCTAAATCCTCCCAGGCACAAGAGCACTGTTCTGTTGCATAGTTCCGGCCGCCAGGGCAGTGGCTAGCACAGCTGCGGATGTAGGCATGGCCCTGTGTCGAGTCCATGTAGCCTCAACTGCAATTGCACTGCAGGGCTCACGAATCATCAAACTGAACCCTGCGCCCACGCCTCTTGGTACCAGGCCACAAGCCGAAATCGAAAAACAAACTGCCCCTCTCTTCCTATCTACCCTGACCCAGACCCTAATTGCCTGTATACCTACTATTAGGGGCCATATGTCCCGATTTAAGGGTACAAAGAAGGTCTGGTTGTCCTCCAGAAACCGGGCTCACACACAGGAACTGCTGGTGTCTCAGTGTCGTCTCCACCCAACCTGAGGTCAGGCTTTTAAGTTTAGCGCTTTTAAAGGCTTTTAAGCTTTTTGGTAATAGGCCTTTCGGATTGGGTTTTATAGGGCTTCGGCTGTCGTTTGGGTATAAGTTATTAAGGCTTAGGTTTTGGATTGCTTTTTGCCTCGGGGATTGGATGTCGTCGGCAAAGCTCGTTCGAATTACGGCTTTCTTTGCTTGAAGGTCTATAGCGAAATCAAGAATCGAATCGCAGCACATCTCTCTCACGCACACCTCACAACCCCCAGGGCAAATACTAACAGTATGCAAAGGTGGCAGCACACGACTATGAAGCATGCCCCGGCCAACCTGAAGGCTTCTACCCTAAGGCTCCAAAGTAGTTCCTTTTTGGGGTTCATGTATGGAGTCCTATAAGGTATACCCAAAAAGGAACTACTTTGGGGCCTATGGGTAAAGCTGAGAAGCTCCCGGTTCCATACCCCAGAATAGCCAATAGGATCCGTATCATTAGGATGTCCTTAAGGGGGGGTGGTCCAAGGGGGGTAGGTAACCTAGTAATCCCCATTATTCCCCAATACTCCCTAAGCTTCCCTAAGGTTCCCCAAAGCTCCCTAGTACCCTCCCCCCTTGAACTACCCCCCCTTAAGGATCCTATAATATCACGGGCCCGCAAGAGGACCCGAGACCCGAGGCTTTCCCGCTACCATGCAAAACGGGGCTGGCGTTGGTGTTTCGGATCTACCGAGGCTTGCTGAAGTCGAAAGCTAGCTTGCAAAGACCACTGTAAGGCTGTTAGGGTTTAGGTCTCATGGCTTTGGGTTTGAGGCTCTAGGTTTGCTCTTGGATCCGTGAACAGCAAGGATACTCTGGACTCTCGTCTTCCTTGGCAGGAGCTGCTGAACCCTTAATCATTGAGGAAGGGCTGCAGCCCTGAACCCTAAAACCCTGAGCCCTTTATAAACCCTAAAAGCCCTATATATATATATATATATATATATATATATATATATCATCCAAAGCCCTTAACCTTACCTTCCCTGCGCTCCGATGCAGTCCGAACAACCTCCGTAAACTCCCCCTGGCCGGCAAATCTCTGGGCCACCAGGGCAGACCTGCCAGGGTGTAGGGGTTTAGAGGATTCAGGATTTTCAGGGGATGAGAGTTGAGGGTGTACAGAAATAGAGTTTAGGTCCGGGGTTTTGTGGAGTGTTCAGCGGGTTTTGGCTTTTGGTACTCGGGCGGCTAAGTAACTGTATTTTGGGGTTTTGCACTTCCGCTTCATGGTTAATTAAGCTAAAAAACAATCGTGGTGAACACTTTTGCACCTCTGGTTCACCACTTATTGCCGACCGGCTCTTGGGACGGTTTAGCAGCAGACGCAGCAGCAGCGGCAGCAGCAGCAGCAGCGGCGGAGGCGGCAGCACCAGTAGCAGAACCACCACCACCACTGCCACCAGCACCAGTATAAGCAGAATGACAAGGAACCACGTCGTCGCCATCGTCATCCCCACGCCATGACGGTGGCGGATCGTTGCAGCGGGTGGCTGTGGGAAGATTGAAACCCTAAACCCCAAAACCCTAAACCCAAGCGCTGTCAAGATGAAGTGTGGGGTTCATGGTTTAGGGCTTGACGATGCTCGAATCCATTTTGTTCAGAAAGCCTTTGCAGCTTGCATGCGATTAATCTGGACTTTGGGCTCTAGTCGCTATCATTGCCAGTTGCTGTGTTTTGGGTGGGGAGCTTGTAGAGTTTAGGGCTTAGGCTTTGGGCCTAGGAGTTAGCGGAACGGCCCACAGCCTGAGTGTGGCTCCATGTCGGCGCAAGTCAGAATCAGCAAGCTGAGCGATAAAAGCCATGCTAATGGCTGGACGAGCTGTGACATAATATAGGGGCCTGAACAGGTGTATGTCATAGCATGTTCATAACAAGGGACCCCAAAAGGAAACTGGGCTTTAACTTTAAATGATGGGAACAGTGTTTTGGGATTGCTCTTACTTCCAAGAAGGAGGAACCCCAAGCAATGGTGTTGGCAACTATTCAGGCCCCTATATTACTACAGGCTGCTGTGCCAGGGCCGGATTGCTAGTCACCTTCAAATCTTCGTTGCATTGTTTGTTGGGGCTCAGGGTTTGAGGGAGCTTACTTAAAACAGATGCCTGTGCAAGGAAAACTACACGGGAGTTTCCGAAAAAGGGGACCCTAGTATAGTACCCTAAATAGTAGGATCTCAAGTATAAGGACCCCAAAATAAGGTACCCCTCATTTTCGGAAACTCCCATACATTTCCAAAAGCCCACAATTCCTGACCGGGAGTTTCAGTCTTCAGGCTAGGCCCTGGTCAGCAGCTCCGGCTCAGAGTCCAGAGGGCCCCGTGTTCTTCAAAGGGACCGGATCCAGAAACTACTTGAGCCACGAATGAAGGTAAGAAGTAAGGTTTACATAGGGTTTGGGGATCATTCCAGCACTCCTGTACCCAAGAAACTGAATAGCAGCTCCCTTCCGTTCTCACTGCTTCTTGCCATACTAAGGAGAGCTGTTATGTTTAACACCATGCGTGTGACGGTTTACAGAATCCTCATGCCCTCCAGTCCAGACCCTCAAAATCACTCTCGGAACCGAAAGCACCGAAAGACCTACACCAGTCCAAAACTCTAAACCCTAAACTCGAAATCCTAATAAAGCCGTAAAGTACAAGCCAGAAAGTTGGAATATGATTATCCTAACCCTTCTATGGTAAATTTTCGGGTATCCTACCGTGAAACCATATTCCAACTTTCTGGAGTTTCCTATAACATCCTGAAGCCGTAAACCAGAATCCCTAAAGGTTCCAGGTAGCCCCGCTGAGCTTTTTTCCCAGAGGCTGAAAGACCCTTTCATTAAGGAATATGGGAGTTTCCGAAAATTAGGGGTACCTTATTTTGGGGTCCTTATAATAAGTATCCTATTTAGGGTTCTATATCAGGGCACCCAATTTTCGGAAACTACCATATGCCTTTTACATCATACTCAGGATCCGGAGTGTGGGGTTGATTGATCCCTCTATAGCTCAAGGAACATTGTCGTATCTCCTTCAGGGAGCTCACTGATGCTGCGGAGACTTAGCTTGAGGCTTCGGACGTCCAAAGCTTAGGGCTCTAGGGCCTCACGGTAACGGGCGACTGAAACCCGCAGCGACTAGAAAATGCAAGAAGCCGAAATTAGGTTTGAATCGGAACAGGAATGCTTATTCAGGCTTCCACATTCACTAACAAGATGCTGTCATGAGGGGCGGGCGAAACACCTACACACCAAAGTCATAAAGTTGTGTTGTCCAAGACTTCTCCCTTAAGAAATCACATGTAAATAGCGCAGGGATAGCCTACCCACAAGTTTACGTTTGCGTGCTTACTTGGTCACTGACCCATGACCCCGTCAGACAACTTTAAACCTAAAAGCAAAACCACTGAGACTTCTTGGCGCCAATTCCCCAAACACACAAGCTCCTCTAGCAGAAGTACTGTATCTGCTGGAGCCTGGAACCTCTGAAAACCTTCAAAAATTGGAACAGGTTTTGGGGTGTATTCATACTATAAACCAATTTCATGGGAACCCGCAAGAAGAGTATGGGCAATTATTCCAGCTTCTATGTTACCATCAGCTTTCAGCCAGCACAAAGCCTTTTGCAAACTCAAACTGCCCCCGAACCGCCGACTGCCCCCCTTAGTATTAGCCCTCCACCGCATTAGCCGTAAAGCATGCGTTTATAGGCAACAAGACTTATCCAAACCCCGCCACTGTCCCTAAAATCCAAACCCCAAACCCCGAAACCCCCGAACCTGCAACCCTAAACCCCAAATACCCTAAAATCCTAAACCCTATAAACCACGAAACCCTACACCCCCTATGGTACCCTTAACGATCACAGATCCCTTAACTTACCTTTGGTAAGTAGGGAATGGAGGAATGGGATTCAATTATAACTACTATTACTACCATTCTTCCATTCCCTACTAACCAGAGGTAAGTTATAGGATTATTATAGACCCCTTGTAGTAACCCTTATAGACCCATTTAGAAGGCGCCATTACAGATCTCTTAAAGGAGCCCCCTAAACCCTACACCCCCCATTCTTTAGAGATCAGAGATCCCCAAAGAGCCCAATACCCCTTAATTAAGGAATGTAGCTTAAATCATTAGGGGCTTCATATTGTGATTTTAAGCTATACTCCTTAATTAAGGCGTATTGGGCTCTCTGGGTCCCTTAAAGGAACCCGCGTCAGCTCTTTGGGACCGACCTCAGCCTTCTCTGAAGCCGCGGAAGCCAGGGCCGCTTGGGCTGCCGCCATGGCTCTGTTCACTTCCTCAGGCGAGGGGTTTAGCTTTTGGGGTCTGGGAGAATTTTGCCTCAAGGGTGTAGGGTCGTTTGGGTTTGGGCTTCAGGGCTTTTTTCCCTCAAAAGCTTAGGGTCGTTTGGGGTTTAGGGCTTTTTTCCAGTATGGGTTTAGGGTTTAGCGTTTGGGCTTACGGCTTTTTGGGGATAAGGGGTTTAGGGTTGTTTTAGCCCTTGGGATTTCGGATTTTTTCCCCTCCTACTTGGCAAGGACGAAGGCTTTGGGGTTTAGGGCTTTTTGGGGTCAAGGGTTTAGGGTTGTTTGAGCGCTTGGGGATTTAGGGTTTAGGCTTTGGGGTTTAGGGCTTTTGGAGTGTAGAGTTGAGGCTCCACTGCTTCTTGCTGAATGAGTCAGCGCTCAACTGTTTTGTGTGGGGTATTTGGGGGGGTTGGGGCAGGTCTTGTTGTAAAGGAGTGCCTCTTTACAGGGTTGTGCAGGGATATCCAGTCGTTTCACTGATCTCAAGCTCCAGATTCAGTTCTCATTGTACTTTTGCAACGAAACTTCCAGAATCTCCGGGAAAGTGCTGGCTTGGACGTGGATCACTTGGAAGGGCAGGGGACTTAGTAAGTAGGTTATAAATAGAGTTAGAAGTACCCTAAATGGAGTTACCCTAATTATAACCCTACTTATAACCTACTTACTAAGTCCCCTGCCCTTCCAAGCAGGTCCACAAACGAGACCTACGGTAAACCACGCAGAAGTGCTGAAGACTGGGCAGCTTCTGCTCCGGGAACGGAGCGGGGTTCAGGGTGCTATGGGATCCTTTTAGGATGCTTTTTTTGGGGGTTAGGGTTTTTTTCCCTCTCGCATGGCTGGCATCAATGTCCACAGGCGAGGATTCATGGGGTAAATCGGTACATGCAGAGCCCCAGTACGGTAGGCATCGCATTCCATCAATCATCTTAAATGAAGACGTCGTCAGATGGTCCATCATTATTATGACGGGTTAGGGTTTAGGGATTAGGGTTGAGGGTTTCGGTGCTCACACTCGGGTTTAGGGTGTAGGGATTAGGGTTTAGGGCTTAGGGATTAAGCTTCTAGGGATTAGGGTTTAGGGCTGCGCAACTCGCAACTGTATGAAACCCTATGAATACCGCGCAAAACCCTCTCACCACCCAAGGCGAAAGAACTGCGCTGGAAAAGAGACGCGAGGCTCACAACTCTGAGTCCCATGGTATTGGAGCCGTTGGCCTTCATAAGCACTACCTTAACCTGCGAAACCCTACTTTTTTGTAGGTTCTTAATATAAACCCTAATATGTGGTTTATAGGGACCCTACAAAAAAGTAGGTCTTGGTAGGTTAAGGTAACCTACTTCCGAAATACGCATACAACAAAAAAGTTCCAACTTTCAAAGTGAAACTACCTCATAAGAGCCCCTAAAGTTGAAAAGTGTGGTTTGGACCACTCGGCTAAAAGGAGTTTTAAAAACTAAATGACCCCTAATATGAAGCCCACGGTGGCGGGATCCTGCATACAATATACAAGGACCCCACCAAAACGACCCCCGAATATCCGGAAACCCGCTTTGAGCCTCCACAGGGGGCTGCTCCTCAGACTTCTGATGGTCCTGAGGGAGCGGACCCCCACAAACCCGGAAAGAAGCTGAACCGGTTTACAGTAGAAGCCCAAAAGTTGGAAACCCGATAGCCTCAATCCTTAAGACAAATGTATAGGGAACCCCAGCACTGTTTTTCCTTAATCCGGTTTCCAACTTTATGGGGTTTACTGTAAGTGGTTGGGGTTTATGATTTGGTGTTGAAGGCTCAGCGCCTTCAGAAGCCTGAGATTTCATAATGTAAGCCCTCAACCCTAAAGCCTATAAACCCGACAGACCCCAAGCCCTAAATGCCTGAGACATGCGAGTGTAGGGTTCGGAGGATGAAAGGCTTAATGCTTAGGGTTTAGGGGATATTGCGTAGGATGTCACAGTTTTTGTGGTTGGGGGTAACTGATCTTGATGGAATACTCTTCAATATTCTTGAGCGGAAAGGGTGAAGTAAATTGTAAACCCCTCATGAATAAACCTCCCTTGCGACATGTCCTTTCGATGATTTCAAAGGGGCCCTAAACAAAATACCTTAACCTACCAAAACCTACTTTTTTGTAGGGTCCCTATAAATTCCATATTCGGGTCTAAAATCACAACCTACAAAAAAGTAGGGTTTGGCAGTTTAAGGTAGAGGTTACCAACCAGGCGTCTTCTATAATCTTTGTCAAACCTTTTTGTCTTCTGGGGCTCACTAATGGTCCCACCTAAACTGCCCCTAAGTTTCTTTAACCTTTATACGGGCCTTTGTAAGTAGAATGGGCTAGGATATTGGGAACATGTGTATTCTACCATATTAAGGACCCCTGAGGACTAGTACTGGCAAGTAGTATCACTAGCTATTCATACCCTTCGATTACGCGGTTGTGACAAAGCTCCTGTTTAGTGCTTC